GTGTATACAAGTACTTTCCTCAAATAATAGCATTGAATGGCCCCCACCCTTGAGTTTATTTATTTTACATCGGATAAAAAATAATAATTTTTCCCTGCGGAAATATAACCACTGTTTGCCTAGTTATTGTCTTCTTCGCTTCCATTCTTACATATTATTATTAATAATGTAAAACTGGAAATATTTGATTTACGCGGATTTGTTTTTAGAGGATGTCACACCCGCATGTGTTGTCTTCGACTTACAGATGTACAACATAGCAAATGTTAGCGAGACAACATTTATCTTTCTGTGTTTGTAGTAGTGGCTCCGAAATTTCTGAACAAATAGGGTGGAAAATTATCTACGCAACAGTGTGCCCATATTTTAGATAACATAAATGCAATAAAATTTATTTGCTTATAAAAAATTATTGGATAGTGCTATTAAAAAAAAACACAGATAAAGTTCTTCTTTACGTGTTGTGAAAATTTGGTAGCTCTACAACAAATATGGTGCGAGAAAAGGTGTCCCCCGCAAAACAGTTTGTATGTTACATATTTTGAAAGACAAAGACAACACAGGCGGGTGTGACATCCTCTTAAGCAGGACGTTACAGCAACATCTGTTGTCTCCGTCTTACAAGCGAGTAACATAGCAAATTTTACGCTCAGCAGAACACATTTATCTCCGTTAGCTTAAAAATTAGAGCAAATTGAGCTCTTATAAAATTTAAAGGTAAGACTATTATCTAGACAATGACATAGGCTTTTTATTATATTTTAATTTTAAAGGGAGTTATTTAAAATTGTAAACTGTTTGTACATCTTAAAATTTGTCTAAGGAGTGTTCAAAATCATCAAACCGTTACGAATTCCAACTAGGTATATGTATATTACCGCTATTACTATATGTGACAATAAGACACCATTCATTGATTATCTTTTGTTATTAATTTTAAATTAAAAATGTGTACTTAACAACTTTTTTATATTTAATTTTATTATTTAATGCATAAATATATATGAAGTGGAGTTATGAACAATATAATAAACACTCATTATCTCAAAGAGTATTAATGTTTTTGTGTTTTTTTTTACCTAATTTGAAGTCATTAAAAACATTGGGTATACTGCGCAAAACTAATCTTCAAATTTCATCTAAACTTTATAGTTAGGTACTTATAAATTATAATCAATTGACTATTGATTCAAAACTCAAATTGTATACATCGACATTGTTCGAAACATTTTGTTCTTATAGGAATATAATATTATAAAATATGTATACTGTCTTTCAAAAAATGAAAATTTTATAACAAATCATCAATAACAATTATTTTATTTTTAAATAGAGATTTTTAACGACTTAAAATTATGTAAAATAAAATATTTTCTGTAACGTTAATACATTTCAAAATAAAAAGCATTTAGATTCTGTTAAGAGAATCACAGAGTACGTGTTTCATTTATTGAGAATGATTTAATTTTTAATTCCAAGTCCAGTGCTTAACGTACGTTTAGGTAAAAAATTAAAAGCTAGCATTTTGATACAACACGCAAGTATTATACTATATATACCTACCTATTTAATACATAATTTACATGTTTGTTCATCTTATTTGCATTTAGTTGCCAACCCTACTTTACACGATATTATACAATTTTTCAGAAATGTTCGTTTTTAAAAGTTGAATATACATACATGATATTCTAACATTAGGAACATGAGTGGAAAAAATGTCAGTAATATAACATGTTAGAATTTCACGTATCTTATATACTCTTAAATGTTCTAGATTAAATATTTTCAAAAAATGTTAATACTTTTTTAAATAATGAACGATTTCTATTTGAATTATCATCATGCTGCTGTATATTGTCTGATATATTATGACTTAAGCTGAAGATATTCGATTTCCAATTTTGATTCAAATGTTATACCTGCAGCTGTATTTGTTATTATAATTTATCCTGAGATTCCGTTGCCTATTTTTTTCTCAAACCGTCCATTTCCTTTGCAATAGATAAGTATAGAACCGTCTTGACTTGGGACAAGCGCGTGGTCGATCAGCTATTAGTAATTACTACAAATTAGATTTGAGTGGCGTAGGCCGTAGGTAGGAAGAAATTTAATTTCTATATTTAATCTCAAAATACTTGTATTTGACTCAATAAATACATATACCTATAAAACGTCTAGTGAAGCGTCAAGAAATGTGACGAATCCCTGTGGCCTATAACTATTATATAAGCAAATATTCACAGTCCATCCCATTTTGAGCAGATCTGGTATCGAATGCACTGCACTTTTCTATCCCTCTCCAGTCGACACACCTAACAGAACCGAGACTTGTACGTCGGTACCCAGTAAAATGTAAATTAAATAAATGTTTATACTTAACATAATCATATAGATTTTGTGAATAATACAGCACAACAGCGAATTACAGTTTAATGTATTTTAAATATTTCTTGAAACCTTGAACTCGAAGTTTTGACCTCAGTGGTAATCTAAGAGGAAGGAGCCTTAAACCTTGTGTTTGAACTTTAAACTTCTAAAATAAAGTCATTTTATTTAAATTGATCATTTACAATAATATACTTAGCGCATGTAATATATTATTTTATGGTTCAAACTGTCGATTAGCAAAGTCGTCAATCATTCGAGGAACATTAATTTCTTCCACTGCCTTGAGCTTTTGTTTCTAAATTTAAAACACTCAAGACGCCCTTGGTATATCTTCGATGATTTTTTTATAATTTCATGAAAACATATAGGTATTAAATGCTTATTAGTTATTAGTAATAATAACTATTAAGTACTTATTAGTTATTAATAATAATATCATGTACCGATAATCTTTACTATTATTATAATCTATTATATACCTACACAAATCGCTTTGTAAATTTCCTTAACTGATATTATAATATTTAAATCTGATGCTGAGAATATATATTGCTATTAATTACATTATTATATTGTTGTCAACAAATCTCAGTCATATTACAACTTATAAGTATATCATGTTGACTGCATAGCAATAAGTTCTAATGTCATCGATACGAGTATCCACATTTCATTTGCGTAATTTGAATCGTTTGTTGAATACCTGATTGCACGCGAAATCAAGTTAATATAATTGGTTGAAACTATTATCACTTATCATATAGTGAACAAGTTATGTATTTATGATACCTATCTATACATTATTATTATAATATAAAATGGCACTATTTTGACGTATTCGATAATTTAAATAATTTTTATTGCCCTTATAGGTACCTATGACGTACACAATGTTAAACTCGGTTGACTAAAAAATATGAATGTAAAATAGATAAGATAAAATTAATATTTGTAAGAAAATATCAGACAAAGAAAAACATAAAAATTTGAATTTTTATCTGGATAAAAATAATTACCTCTAGGTACAGCTATAATAAATATTCAAAACATCGTCGTTTGAGTAATTAATTTGTAATGCAATTGTTAAGTTAATGTGTGATGTACACGAGTAGTAGGAAAAATAATTTTCATTTATATGAAACTTTATATCAAATAATAATGCATTATAGGTATTTGAATTCAATTTATTAATTGGTTTGTTAATATTTTATATTCAGAGAGTCCGTATCGGGTTTATCGTCGGGTCGGTGAATTCTATTTTCTCATGAGAACAATATATATAATATTATACATATTATATGGGAAAAAAAAACATTTAATTTCATACCGTATCCCAACGGTACGTTTTAAATACTAAAATTTTTAGCAATGAGAATGTTAATTTTTAATATTTTTTTTTTTTGTTATTATTTAAAACTTTAATCCATAGAGCTGGGCGGGCAACCGTTGCGTGGTATACCTATATACGTCCTATATATTATACAGAGTAAGAACTGCACTATATAACCTACTTAATACAGTAATACCTATACACAGGTAAATGGCCCGTGCGGTAAGCCGTCGCGAATTGTAATTGTATTTCTCCGTGGAAAATAATACACGTTTTCTGGCAATACCAAATTACCTTAACCATCATACACGTTTAATATTGTTATTTCCCTGAGGATGATAACCCGGTAACTTGGAGGACTCGTTTAAATCTGTCTATAATACTCTGCGAGTTCTAAATATGAGATAACACTTTAGTATAATATTATGAGCGATCCGTATTTATTTAGATGTTACACTGTTTAAGTTATATAGTTACTCTTTTGGGTTTTACTATTACCATTCGTATTGTATAATAAGGACAATGCACAATAATATATTATACTGTGTATAAAAGAAAGGTTGTGTGCATATAAGTATACAATATCGAGTACTTACTACCTATTATGTTGATAATATTTTTAACATAGAGCACACAGTGATTCATTTAAATATTCAAGTATTAGAAAAAAAAATTTAATATTTAACACATCTATTAAAGCAGTGACTCGATGACGAGGTACATTTAATACAGCAGAGCGACTTCCACGGTGTTTTTATGAGTGGACATACATTACACATTATATCAGAACGAAATCCATTTGATTCCAAAAAAACGGTGTAGTTTTTTTATTTTAATTCGTAGAAAACTACTAGGTTGTAGACAATACAAAATTAGTACATTTATATATGGGGACTACAGGATTGAGAACATTTTTTGAGTTATTAGAAATAATGAATAAAAATCGTATTAGTTATTTTATTGATTGACATTTTCTAAAAGAACATTATCTTTTTAACGACCATACATATTATAATGATTGCCGTTGTCTTAATACCTACAATTATTTTAAATAAACAAATCTCCTTATAAAACTCCTCCGAGCGAGTGCATTTTAAATAATTTCTATTTCCATACAATTTATGCTTAAACATGGAATATAACCATTTCGGATCATCAATTACAGTGCAGTATTATATTCAATTATAGTATACAATATACTATACAATATACATATACCATTATGATACTAATCTTGGTGCGCCGGCATACTTAATAGTGCAATTATTATTTGTTTCAGTCGAGTACACGGAGCCTGTATTCAAAAAAGGCAGAGTTTACAAAGGCATTTATTGTCCGACGCTCACCAACAGTTTTCGAGAACCCAGTCTGGAGCTATCGTATCAGAGATACTCGCACAGACAACGGCAGAAGTCCTTAATCATCGTTAATTTCGTCGACATGACACTTAAAGCAGTCTTAGCCGGTAAAATGTCTTTCAGATTTACGAAAATTATTTCGACTATTGATTAAATGTGTTATTGAAGAAATTTCAAAGGTAAAAATACAATAATAACACAATACTATATAGAGTAGGTAATATATATATATAGCGAAGCGGTTATAATAATATATACCGTACGTACAACACAATGCATATAATATAGTAATAGCGTATATCGTTGCACTTATATAATATAATGTTATTATTTATTTTAAATCTGTGATATTACCTATTAAGTTTATGGGCCTTTCACACATTATATGTACATAGGTAGTTAACGAATATTATGCGTTCAGACGAGGGATTTCGACTTACCACAATATATTATAACTATCAGGGCGATTATTATAAAACATCATCGTTGTACGGTATTAGTGTACTTTACACTAACTCTAGATTTTCCCGCTCAAACAGGTGTGTGGCTGTTGCCGACCTACCACGAGCCGTACCACAGCCAAAGGGCTATATGGACGTGTCTGACAATGTTCGCCAATCTCACCGTGTGTCTGCTCGGTTGGTGGAAATGCTTCGCCAACAACTACCTCCAGTGGGCAGCGGTTTTCACGTGGTGTTTCATCAACGTACAAGGTGCTCAGTCGATAAAATATCTATTCTATACATTTATATTTATGTCCATTCCAATTTATTATAGTGGTAATAAATGTATAATATTATCATAACTCAAACGATAAATCGTCATATAATAGTATATTATAATTATTATGTGATTATTTCATAATAAGTATTACTATAAAACATAATCCTGATTTTCCATACATTTTTCGTCCATCAAACGTGGCGCTGGTATATAGATTATAATAATTAAATAATAATATGCAACCGACGATCTTAACAAATTCTGTATTATATGTAAGGTTTCGTGTGGGAGAGTTATGGCCAAGGATCTAGAGAATATCTTGTGTGGTACGTGTTGTTCATCGTTTTCGTTACTTATGCTATGCTACCGCTTCCACTGAGATGGTGCATACTGGCCGGTTGTTCGACGGCATTGTTACACATACTCATCACGAGTTACACGAAATCGTCGAAAGAAAAAGTAATTTTGTCCCTAATTATTTTGACGCCTAGTCGATGGGACACGCCGCGCAGCCCCGAGTTCTCTATATAGTCGTATTCGCCGATGATGTCTGTCATCGAAACTTTGCGAATTCCAATCGAGTTCACCTAGTCAACACCAGTCACACACGGTTGACAAGTGACTTTAGAGGTGCACGCTATAGCGCACACCTGTTTTAGTGTAGGTAAAGCCCGATGTCCATGACTATTATTACCTTCATGAATTTTTTTTCTTTTAAACCACACGAAGGCTATTTTACTATGACGATCAATATGATCTTTAACAATATATTTCGTAGGTGTACATAAATTAAATATTAATGAATAAATATTTTAGTAAATATATACAAAAATATGTTTGGGTTATCACTCCCAGTGGAGGGGCCCCAGCCTTAGTCATAATTATGGTCTTCGGCAATCTATATGAATATACGAATTTTTTTCTTGGTATTTCTGGACATCGGTAATGTTACTTTTTATAGTACCTATGTATACAATTATAAGTGTTTTAGTTCCAAAATATAACCTACCGATCGTTTGTGGCTGACCATCGCATGAACACATTTTTTCTATAATGTGAGCGATAGAAACAATAAAGCGACAATTATAATGACTTTGGAGTGTGCCGCGCGGTGGTGTCTTCCTCGTGTATCTTAAAGTTTTTTTAATTTGTTCTACTTAAAATGTATTTCCATGGGTACAGAATAGACTGTGCGTCGTTCGCCAGCTAACCGCAATGAGTTTGTTGTACGCTGCCGTCAACTTTGCCGGAATGTATACAAAGTACTTAACGGACCGAAGTCAACGAAAGGCGTTTTTGGAAACGCATAGGTCCACCGAAGCCCGGTTCAAGACTCAAAAGGAAAACGAACAACAAGAAAAACTTTTACTTTCGGGTACACCGACCACACATTATATTAATGTTGTACAAATGGATCATTAACATATTTTATCTGATGTAGTTTTACCGGATTTCGTGGCTAGGGAAATAATTAAAGACATCGCTTCTGAAACGGACAAAGGGCCTTTTATGCCAAATCAATTTCACCGAATCTACATTCATCGCTACGAAGACGTCAGTATTCTTTTTGCCGACATCAAAGGTTTTACAGGTAAGTGAAATATTTAAAATCTACAAGTCAATATTAATTATCCGCTTAATCTTAATATCTTATTGAAAATTATTTAAATTGATTGAAAAACTCACAAAAACCTATTCTCTGCATATTATTATTGTTATATGTTATATATTATGTTATTACGCTCAACTAAGCCGCCATTCGTTTTATATTAAACTCTCGTTAAGCAATACAAATGATAACGTACTATAATTATCATACTATATGCACTATGCAGCTCCTTAGTCCTTATGCCACGTATAACCGTATAGTTAAGTTATATATAATATATATATATAATATATATCCAAATATTTATCTACCTAACCATTTTTAGTATGTAAATACTGTTTGAACTATGGTTATGATAAAAAAAAATGCATGAAAATATATGTTTATGGATCCATCCAACTTATCGTTTAATTTGTTTATTTGTTTACACAGAATGGGCGAGTCGTACTTGTGCTCAAGAATTAGTCAGAGTATTGAACGATCTATTCGCTAATTTCGATAAACTAGCTGCGGTAAATACAAAATCTTTATTAAATAAGAATACGTCTTATTAATGATTATAACATGTCAAATGTATTAACTAGGAAAACCACTGTCTTCGTATCAAGCTTTTGGGCGATTGTTATTATTGTGTATCAGGCCTTCCTCAAACTAGACAAGATCACGCCGTGTGTTGTGTAGAAATGGGTTTGCATATGATAAACGCGATCAAGGAAGTGAGAAATAAATTGAACGTAAGGACATATTATAATATTTTAATCACTGCTTGCAAATGGTGTAATCCGTTTGCGCCCCCCCCCCCCCAAAAAAAAAAAAATTGCATTCCGATGTGTAACCGTATGCGCCTCTTTCGTATATGATGCATAATTTCTGATGAACGCCGATACATAAAAGAGGTACTTACCCATAAAATACGTTTCCACTTATCGTGGTATTAATTTTTGATGTTCATAGCTAGTTATCGAGAGGCTATACGGATAAGATATGAGAGTTAATGTGTTTGTGCAACTTTTTAAACTAATTTTAACGTTGCACGACTTTACCTCGTTTATGATAAAATCATTTAGGGCGCATACAGGCATGATTTGGGAAGTACATGGACCATGATAAAATGGTTCACCCGCCGATTAAATAATAACACAAACACATAATTATTGGATTTAAAACAGGTCGATCTAAACATGCGCATCGGAATACATTCCGGGTCGGTTCTTTGTGGAGTCTTAGGACTTAGGAAGTGGCAGTTTGACGTATGGTCTTACGACGTGACATTGGCCAATCACTTGGAGTCTGGCGGAATACCTGGGTATATTTTTGAAACGTTTACTCTCTTATTGGTTTCTCCTTTGCGTCATAACGTTAATTATTATACACACTGTTCGGCTTTAGACGTGTTCACATATCTAAGGCTACTCTGGATTGCTTAGAAGAAGCCTACGATACGGAACCCGGTCATGGGGAAAATCGCGACGCTTATTTAAGGGTATAATTATAGTGTATTATAATGTTACTATCCAAAATTATCCGAATATGACACGGTATTGTGTTTTATTGTACTGCAGGATCACGGGATTGAAACGTTCTTGATTAAAGAACAAGAGCCATGTCGAGGTCACCGAAAGCTACAGAAAATTAGTTCTTCGAGACCACGTTTATGGTCGGATGAGAAATTGTGTTTCAACTCCAATGTGCAGAAATTAATTTCGCCGAAAATTGGTAATTTATTGTCTATAAATTGCATTTAAATTTTAATGACTACTTATACCTGCTATTATATTAACAATGTAAAAATATTCGATGTGCATTGCGTATGCTACACACAACAGTACAACACTCGTCATAATATATTATAGTATGTAATAATTGAACTCAGCTTCATACTTTTCTTGGCTAATTTATATTTCATGATTACTAATATTATTTTAAATACACATTTATACAATTTAATAAGATATTTAGGATATAAATCTATGTATTTATCGTAGTTTCACATTGAGGTATTTATAATTTGAACCATAGATAGTTCAATACACTGTATGTACTTACGGGATGTTATTATTTGTTGATCAACCATAATATTATTACTGACATTTTAAACTAATATATTAGAGTTAATGATGACTATATTATTTTAATCATATTTTTACATTTCCGACTTTTATTTCACACTCAATAATAATAAATCTCAAAACTTACGACGAATATTATAAATTACAATTTTAATTTATGTTAAAAAAATATCTATGTAGGTATTAATCTTCTCTTAATTTATTTATTTATTCGAACAAACATGCCGTGGGACAAAATCGCTAGTTACAACACATGTGTACACACATATACACGAATGTTATACCTAGTTAACTTCATGTTATTCAACAATAAACACATTGTTTTAATTTAAATAATAAATATTGTATCATAACAAAAGTCAATGTTAATAATAATATATTCGGCACTGTTACGACTTACGATGCATTCAGTACCTACAGCTATAATGGTTTGGCGTGGGCCATTCCAAACATGTGAATTGTTTAGTATTGTCAGAACAAGCATGTTCATTGAATAGCAGATTACGATAGGTTATACTGTAATCGTTACAGAGATGAACAATATTATACACTAAAATAATAACATATAAATAAATGCGTAATTTATACTTAAAAAAACACCATGTACGGTAGTACGCGATGTCAGTGGCGTGGTGAACAATTTTAATTGAAGGAGCCAAATATATTTATTCCATCGGAGTCTATTAGAAATAGGCGGAATCGATATAAATACGCCCCAAATATCACAGTGAAAGTGAACTAATCAATCGTTAACACAAGTCTCATTAGTTATTGAATTTATAATAGGGACTTAACTACTGTAGTAATATAATCCATATTTAGATTTAATTCAAATCTATTATCGTGGAGGGGTGTATATTCTTAACAATGGCTATCATGATTTTAAGTTTATTTTGGTTTATAGAGGATTATATCGATGACAACAAATGCAACGAATGGACACCAGAAATACCATTTGAAAATGTAAATGTGAAAAGCCAAAATCCTGAAATGTATTAAAACATAATTATAATGTTTAATGTATTTATTTATATTTTTAGTTAAATACAAGTGATCAAGAACTGGAAATCGATGACGGTGAATGTGGTACTCCTATGACGATCGAAGGAGACGTAGAACATGCCGAAGATATTATGGATCACTGTATCGAAGTCGAGAGTAATGAAAGAATGAGAAACGAAAACATAGATCGATGGACTTTAAGGTTCAAACAACCAGAAATCGAAACTAAAGTAAGAACAGAAATCTATTCTAGTTTTATTTATCAAATATTTTTTCATTGCCTTCATAACCATCATAATAATAATTAAGACACATGCATTTGTTGTCTCCGTCTTACACACGTACGACATACCAAATATTCGTTCACTAATTTCAATAATGTGCTGTTTGTTTTGATATTAGAGTGATGTGACCTATCATACATTTTTTAGATAATAACATTATACGTTGGCTTTTATTCGATATTTTAATTTTCAAGCGAGATATGAGCATTTTGATCTTTTGTTATTTAACATACTCTTGCTTGAAAATGTAAATTTCAAAAAATCGGCAACGCTTGAGTACAGATAATGTTCTTACCTAAAAATGTTATAATATGTCAATTCAATCTAGAATCAAAACTAACAGCACACTGTAGAAACTAATAGTGAACGACAATTTTCTATGTCGTGCGTGTGTAAGACGGAGACGACAGATGTATGGGTAGCGTCCTCTGAAGTACCTATATTCCCAGTACAAAAATATCAATACAAAACTATAACATAATAACTAATAAAGTACCTTCGAAAATAAAATTACATATATTTTCCACTATTATATTATAACCATTAATGATACATTTATATCTTTAGTTTTGTCAGTTACGAGAAGACATGTTTAAATCAAACATGGCTTGTTGTTTTATCATATGGTTGTTGGTCGTATGTTGTCAAACGATCATGTTGCCCCGATGTATGAAACTGTTGGTCGCCTTGGCATTCACCACCGTTGTGCTTTGCGCTGCACTGACTCTTGTCATGGCAGAAGAGTTCATGCACTTGCCGTCCGCTTTGCAAAGGATGTCCTCAGTATTGGTGCAAAACCGGTTCAGGCGGACAATGTTCATTTGTGCTGTAGTCGGACTTATATGTTTTTCTTCCACTCTGAGTCTCGTGAGTATCTTTACTGTTAATAATATATTATCATTAATTATATAATGAAGCACGCACGTCAAGTATCCCATATGGAGACGCCTTCACAAAATCTGACCCAAAATCCTAGTTAGTGCTTTCATTGTTTAAGTGAAACAAAACTATAAACAACGCCTCTATAACTAGAGATAACTTGACATTTGTTACTTAAAAACGAATACGAAATCAATAAACCGTACAAATCAGTAGGTTCCGTACATATTTACTTATACCTATTTATATATATATAATGTAGCTGTTTACGCCCGATGAGCACCTAATCAGGAAGGAGGACGACTCTAATGGCGACGACGGCAGAAGGACAAAACGGCGGACCGAAGAGTCCAACGACTGTGTGCACCCCGAGTACTTGGTATTCACGTGGGTCCTGTGCCTAATAGCCTTGGCCACCACGCTCAAGCTATATTTCCTGGTCAAGACTTTCCTGGCGTCCATCATGGTGGCCGTGTACACGGGGCTCACGTCGCTGGTCTACCCGCAGGTGTTCTCGCAGACGGACACCGAACACCGGACCATGCCGCTGTCGTCACAGATGCTGTTGCTGTTGATCGTGTTCCTGGTGCTGGTGGCTTATCACGCCCGGTTGGTAGAGGTCACGTCCCGGCTGGACTTCCTGTGGAAACGGGAAGCCGAACGTGAGCTGACCGAAATGCGAGAGACCCGCACCAACAATCGGCAACTGTTGCGCAATATACTGCCCGATCACGTCGCCCACCATTTCTTGTCGTCCTCGCGCAGGCACACTACAGACGTAAGTAGATACGGGTATTCAAAGTTGAAATAAAAACTTAAACCGGGTTCACACTCTACACCGTGTCGTGTGATTTCGTATTTTTATGTTTATACCAAAATTCAATACCAATGATATGAATACTATACCTAATGATAACATAATATTATTTTATTTTAGTTATCACTTTTCCGCACATAAATGTAACCAAGCGGTCAAAAGTTGAATATATTCAACTATACGGTGTCGTGTAACTGTGGTAACCGAGATTATTTTAAGGCTGATTTCCACTATACACCTACGCGTGTACGTGCATACAAATCCTTTGCTGTAATTGGTTGTTTAGGTTAAGTTACCACACAATTAACCACGATACCGTGTTCTTGGACATGGCTGAACATTTTTCGTGTACACGGCTAACGTGCAGTATAGTGGAAACCCTCCTTTATACGTCACGGTGTAGTGTGAACTCGGCTTTATCGTTATGGCGAGGGAGCGCCGGAGTGGTATGTGGTTTGAACCACTAATATGTTTTAAAAAACCCCCCTTGCAGGACACGCAGCAATGCATATGTGGAATTGATATATTTTGTGATAGTAAACATCAATCATAATATTATGTAATATTTATAAAGCGTGTGTGTACACAAACCCGTCCGTGTTCACAGGAACTGTACTCGCAGTCCATCGACAAGGTTGGCGTTATGTTCGCAAGTATACCGAATTTCACAGAATTTTATTCGGAAGACATAAACAAAGGCATGGAATGCATCAGGTTGCTGAACGAAATCATAGGTAAGCCTGCTAGGCGTAAACGCGGTATAAATTATAAACTATAATGGTATTGCGGGTATATATATAGAGAGACTAGAGAGTATAATACTCGTATTAAAATATTATTTCGTCCCTTTTCCCCGTTTGCCCATTGCATATCACCGCCCTAACCTAACCCCCGGGGAGGAAGAGCTTTGCACAATATGAAATTTGTAATCCAGGTGGTAGAGGCTGTTTGAACGGACGTCAGTCTTAACATCGCCGCGTGATCTATGTATACTCGCACATATATTATATTTATATTTTTTATAATATACCTACTGTTATTACATTATATTTATATCGTATATACTCTACGGGTATAAAAATGTTGGATTTAATTAAAACTGTCATTTACCTAATAGTGATATACTATGGCAGTGTTTCCTAAACTTTTTGCAAATAAATTTAATATTTATTGGGTACTCGACCCCCTGCTAAAAAAAAATTCAAGTATGCCTTAAATAAATAATATTTTTATTATTATTAATTTTATCATTGAATTTTAATAAAATACAATACTTGATAATAAATACATAATAAATAAATAAAATAAATTCTAAAAATGCTATTAAGTATATCATGTTAAAATTCTAAAAAGTGGGTAAGTGGATGTCGCTCTGCTGTACAGTAGGTTATAAGTTGGTCAATGTATAAAGGATTGTATTAAACTTGAATTCAATGATATAATATCATTGTATCAGAAAAACGATTCTGAACGGAGACGGTTTGTCAGTCTGGATATTGTTATTATTTATTACATCCTGTAAGTTGAATCTATATTATAATAGGTATTAAAGTATTATTATGTTTTATTCGTTTCTATGGTGATAAACAAAGCGTTAGAAATTAAAACCCCATTTTTAGCGGTTTTTCGTAATTTGTCGGTGGTTTTTCCTGTGACATTAAATAACTATTGAGAAAATCGAAAAATGACCTTTCTAAAGTACCATCTTGATCCAATTTGCTAAAAGATAAGGTAGGTACTATATGTTGAAATCGAAGCACTCCTTCTGGTAGATATTTTGTATACAGGATATAAAAAAAAAAATAAACACCATTGTAAAGCTAGTGGAGCTTCCTTGCTCTGCTCAGAATCTAAAAAATAAAAAAATACTGAAATAAGCGTAATCGTAACCGTGAGTCGCGACCCATAAAAAATGCCCCGACCCACTATTGGGTTGCGACCCATAGGTTTGGGAAACTCTGTTTATAGTATACTCGTAGTATCATGGTTACGTTTTCTTTATTCCTTTGTGATTTGAAAATAGAGGGTTAGGTACTAAGGTTCCCACCCATACCGGTCAAACCTCTGAAAGAGTTTTAACTGTTTGAAAGTTTTTACTACACGCGTGCTAATAAAGAACAGAAGTACACATTACACAATTAATGTATAATGATTAATGTGCATGCCGTTTTATTACGTAGTAGGTACAATATTAATTATAAATGTTCATTAAGTTTCATCAACAAATTTTGTTTTTCAGCCGACTTCGATGAATTGTTATCGGAAACGAAATTTGGTTCGATTGAAAAAATCAAAACCGTCGGTGCTAGTTACATGGCCGCATCCGGATTAAATCCTAGTGTTAAGGCAAGAATGTTATTACTTATTACCATTATTAAATATTATTTGATATTGTATCCAAACCAGTGGTCAGTCTGGCTAATGATTGGGCCACTAATTAAAAAATGATATTATATTATTACTTTAATATTATTTGTTATCCCTATAATTAAAAAAAAGTTAAAATCAACAATGTTTTACATATTTTTTTCACATAAAATAGAAAATAAACATAAATACCTAACATTCGTTCAATAAATTATAAATTATTAAAGTAGTTTTTTTAATTTATAGTATGATTCAAAAATAATAATAATTTTATCTTTGTTTATAAATTGAATAATGTATTTTTCAACAAAGAGACAAGTGAAAGGATCCAAATGTTGTTATATTATAGAAGATCTAAGCAAATAGTTTTTAAAAAGTTAAATTTTTAAAGTACCTACTCATTTCACACTTATAATTTGACGTGTGCACGAATGTATAAGAACATATTTGAATGTTATGCACAATGGGTTGAACAAACTAGAGTTTTTATTTAGTTCAAGAAGAATTTTAATGTCCCACTCAAAACCCATAAGTGATTTAACCATACATTTTCCTGGCTATGGGCCCCCAGTATTGAAAAATATCAAAGAGCGTCCAGCAATCATCGAGTATAGCCGGATGAACCACACCGACACTGATCCAAACTGTCTTATCCAATTTGTTTATACTATTAATACCATTCAGATAGAACAGATAGAGTTACATATATTTCACGATGTTTTTCATCACTTAAAATCATAAAACATTTTGTTTATTTTTATATAATATGTCTTATTTGGAAATTTTGTTTGTCTAATTTTAAATATTAAAAAAAAAACTTCCTTTTTTTATTATAATGTTTTCTTGGAAAAGTAATTTAAATGGGTAATAGTATTTCCTTTTTGATGTTTGATTTAAATTTCTTCAACGTGTATTGTGTTTTGACCTTGTAGGTATATAGCTTAAAAGCTATTTCGTAGTAACGTATTTTAGCACATAAATAATCGATGTAAAAGTAATTTACATTTTCATAAAGTCATTGTTGTTTTAGGACGGAGAAGACGAATACGGTCACCTTTGCGCTCTTGTCGATTTCGCATTAGCTATGAAACAATGTTTACAAGATGTCAATGTGCACTCGTTTAATAACTTTCAGCTCAGGGTTGGTAAGTATAATTAGTAAAAAAAAAAAGTAGGAACATATTTCTTAATATTGAAGGACAAATACACTAAAATACTACATTACTACATTATTATGTCCATTATGATCGAACCAACAAACTGACTTTGGAAATAAATAAATAATCGTCATATTAACAAACTCGAATAACTTTCAATATTATATTTCACATGTATTTAAATGTTGATATTAATTTAACATGTAGCCCCTAATATAATACTAGCACATCATTTTTAAAACAACATTAAACTGAATGTGGATAGTGGGTAAATATAGGGTGCATTATGAATAAAAAAAAGAAACAAAAAAATCACAAGTACCTATAACAAAAAATAGTAAAATAACGGCAAGTACAAACTTTATATAGCGGACGTCGTTTGATTATTATTTGTTGTATTAGATATTATTATATTCCTATAAAGGTTGAAAAAAAATCGAGAAATTAATTGTAATGTAAGCGTATATATACAATACTTTTTATAATCTTTGCAAGATATCCACTGACCAAAGATAAAATTATCACCTATTATATTCACACCAAGTTTCTAATAGTTCTTATATTTATTTTTTTACTTTTGAAGTATTTGATTTTTATAATTATTTCTGGAAAACTATTACCTACAGCATAATGACACTGCTGCAGTTACTACAATAATTATAATTCATTGTAACTTTTCATTCACCTATAAACTATATACGCCTAATGTTTCTGAAGAAAAATCTGAAACGGCCAATTTTCTAGATCTAATTGAACATTTCAAAAGTTTAGTTATCAATTTCCAATTGTCGTACAAAAATAGTCGAGCAACGTTTATAAAGTTTGTAGCCTCGGTAGGCGGTTAGACGAACTTATAGGTACTTATATACACATATTATTGCATTATATGTATATATTGATGGTCTGGGAGGGGTGGGGGTAGTAGGATTTACACACGGAAAAGGGCCCCCTATAATAAACATTTAACATAATATTATAACAAACTATAACAAGGCGTTGTGCAAAATTAACGCAAACGGTGTGAATGATTATAAATTAAAAAAAATAAATTAATAAAATATTAATTCTGTAGACACGTCAATCACGAGTATGTTATATATTATATTACATCCTTTGACCTTTGATCCACGTTATTTTATTTCAATCGATTCGTGTGCGACAGGAATAAGCTGCGGTGCCCTAGTGGGAGGAGTCATCGGAGCTCGGAAACCCGTGTACGACATATGGGGAAACACCGTGAACGAGGCTTCCAGGATGGATTCCACGGGCACCATGGGCCGGATACAAGTACCCGAGAGCACGGCCAAGGTAAGAAGAATCGTGAAATCGAATTAATTATGCCGTTGCTAAGCGAACGGAAAAAAAAAATTGTATACTTCCGTATCGGCGCCGCTTTTCGAATTTATTTAATATTATTCTGTTTTTGTCGTCGGCGCGTCCGCTATATAATGATCAAAGTTTATGTCCGGGGGTGGTTTCGTGTCTTTTTCAAAAGCTGGAATATAATAATCCGTATCTATCGATATAATACAATATTATGTGTTATAAAAGCGGTTATAAGTTATAATAAATTCTACGAATTACGTCCAAAAGCATAAACATATTGCATTATCAAAAGAATATTTTTCAGACATAGGTACCTACAACAAATTACAAATTATTAATATATACGATTAGAAATTGTTTATACGGTACACTGCATGTTATGCAGGATAACGATTGCAATTTATACTACATAATCAATTACTAAAAAAACATGATATACATGCGCTCATCATATAATATCAATCCACAAACCTACGTCACATGTAGGACGTGTATAGAGTAATATCGTTAAATAATTGCACCTTAAACAAAAAAAAAATAATAAAAACCTACTGTATAGAGGTATCTCTGTATCATTGCATCAAAACTTTTATACGAGTTAATCATACTTCATGCACATAAAGGGTAGTTCTGCGTGTATTTAATACACAACTCTAACAGTCTAAGTCCTTTTTATCACACATGCATGAATTTAATTGTTTTAGTATATTTTGCTCAACAAGGGTAAGTTTCCTAAAAGCTTATATATTAGAAATTATGTACCTATATATATATACAAATTTAACTTTAGAAAATCTTTTTAACAAAATATGTATCTATATAATTTATGAGAAAACAGTAAAAATAATATATTCAAGTAACCATGATGCTAGAACGAAATCTTGACCTTTTTTTGTTAGGCTTAACCGACATCTACTTAGATTGCTTGGAATCGTTCTCCGAGTAAAAAAATACCCTTTCTTGCAGCTGTAACCAGCACAACTATTGTATCCCGCTTTTTTTTTATTTTAATTGATTGTTCATGTGAAAGTTTTATGAACTATATTACCTGCTTGTGAAGGTTGTTTCGTAACATTTTTAAACAAAATAAAAAAACACAAGTACGATAAAAACTTTTAAGCTTGTATCGGAGAATAATATAATATATAGTATGGTAGGTAAACTACGAAGTATATAGGTAGGTATACATGCGTGCGTTCATGCATTATTCATGATATTTTGTTTTTAAATAAAAATTGGATACTACGGATCAATTTGGAAAATAAAATAGTATACTATTCAGAGGTAACCTATATAAGTATAATATCGTTTTAGATGACCAACCAGATCCGCCGGAATAAACAAAATAATTCACTTTATTGAACTACAGTGTGGCACGCGTTACATCATATTATTATGTAGACATCACGTTTATGGCGGGTATAGATACGCGTTATTCAGCAGAACACTCGACTTATAAGTATAATAATAATATAACACCGTCGATAAATTTCAAATTTATGTAAACATATTCTTCTGTCGGACGCTATTTAAACTTTAAACGCTATTTTTCTTTCGATAATAAACGGCCAGGTCTTGGTCGTCACACGCAGCAATTCACAATCTATATATATCGAGGAGGATATAACCTCCACGATACAGACAGGTACGTGCGCAGCCTTTATCCAAAATAATCGTTATATTTCTCAAAATCGTTTGTTGGGATTTGTGTCGTTTGATGCATCGTGTAGCATAATATAATATATAATATGTAAAATAATAATTGTATAGTATGTCACGCTCACGCAATACATCATTAAGGCATTATTATTAAATTGTTAATGTTTTGAATTTGCGTTAACCTAACTATATAATATTATAATAATATATTATACTCATAAATGTATAATATAGTAGTAGTATATAGAATATTATACACGTACGATATTATGGTTTACTACCGGAAAATTACATTTCACGTAATACAATATGTCAGATCAAGGCGGTATATGCCTGACATTTGATCAACGAGTCGAATAACAATAATTTCACTTTTGGGGTGGCAGGTACAGCGCCACGAACAATACGTTTTCGTTTGTATAATAATATAGTTATTATTATTAATATAACTAAATAATATCTTAACAGCAATTTATACGATAATTGCATATTTAAGAATGCGGTTAAATCCATTATAATATATATTGTGCCCTATATGCGCATATACATATTATTATAAACGTTTTCATTTTATCATTTAAAATTTATGTCTAAATATTAAAGAATTACAATCGATTTTCGATCCATTTACGTATAGATACACATATAAAGCACAAAAGGGTTGGAATTTGGGGGGGCTAAGCTTTAACTTGATAATTAATTCAAGCTCAAAACAGTTGTAGGAAATGTTTGGGGGGGGGTCTATGCATATAAATAATGTACCTATAATACAGGTGGTCACCGTGAGGATTTACTCATTGCGATATCTCCTGAAATAATGGATATATCGTATTAATTTTTTTGTATTAAGACTCGCAGAGGTAAGCACTACAATTATTTATTTTTTATTAAATTAAATTTTTTAAGTAAAAAAGTTAAAAAGATGATTTTTTATTTATTTTTAATTTTTGAAAAAATTGAAGATAGCCATTCTATAGAGTATATTTTGTGAACATTTGAGCTTTAACATTTTATTTCAATTAATCTCATGATGTTTAATAATTTTTTTAGTTATTAGTAACGTCCAATAAAACTGGTTTTTGTCCGGGCGGCGAGTCCCCCTCTACGGCTAATGAGTAAATCCTCACGGGACACCCTGTATATGAATCTATAATGTATTACATTGACGGGTTCACAAACATTGTAGTTGTCCTTATATTATAATATAATATTGTTGTTAATACATAATATCATCATGATCGGTGTAGATCCTGATGGACCGGGGTTACGAGACGGAGTTCCGGGGCTCGATCGCGGTCAAGGGCAAGGGCGAGATGAAAACGTACTTCGTGGTGGGCAAAAAAGGAGCCGTGGCGAACAGCCTGAGCCGGCAGTCCAGTCAGATCAGCAGCTTGGCGACCGTCGTCTACGGGATGGTGCAAGCCAGACGCCGGCAAAACACAGTAAAAAAAAGACATTTTCATCGTGAGTGCGCTTTACTAACAACACTAATAACAATATATAATAATAAATCCATAACGAGTACGTGCGTACGGCTATATTATTATTATTATTGCGGTAACTAGAGATGTTGAGGGTGTAGTATTATGATATTATTATATTATTATGCTTGTGTCTACACAATTTCTGTGTCTATGGTTTTGCTGCTGTTGGTTAACGAGCTTTAACGAGTTTGCCTACATAATATTATTATAATATAATATTAAATGGTGTAGGTATTGTAATGATATCGTTATATAATATTGTCAGTGAATATACGAACCAGTAGCGTATATAGAAATAATTTTTGGGGTGGACTATAGTACATAGAAACTAGCAAGTGATCAATTACTTAGATGCTACTGTCTACTATATATTTAACAGTTTCTAAAGGAATTATTTTTCATTAGGCTATGAAATATTATAACTTATAATTGTACCTAATAAAATATATTGTATATACAGTAACTTCGGGGGGGGGGGGGGGGGGGCAGCCCACTATATACGCCAATGACACGAACAATAAATCAAACACTTTGAACTATATTAGAAATGCCAAGGAATGGTATATGGTGTATCTCGTACTCAAACTATACTCCAGGGCGACATATGTATATATAACCTTATGGCTATATTATATAATATATTATTTTAATACACCAGTCCGTGTCACAAATACCGTGGCTACATTATAAGTATATAAACACACGCCTCGAGATTATCTTGGTTATAATAATTAGGTATTATTATTGCTGTACGTATTTATATTGAATCTACTGTAATACGTCATCATAATTATTTACGGTTTCGCCACCAAATTGGATCTCATTAATCTTGCTCCGTTGACTAATAACGTAACATTTGCATTAATATACCAAAACATTACGCTAATTTAGTAGGTATTATACACTATAACCGTTTAGAACGGTTCAGGTTATTATAATAAATGTACATTATTGTACACATACGCACAATACTATAATATAGGAATCGTCCCCTATTGTTGGTATAGACATAATTTTATTTTTTATAAATATTTATGGAGTGACGTATTTAGATGGGGGGAGCAGGGGGAAGCGTAGGTCTAGGAGCTATAATATAGGGTAGCGTTTTAAATAAAAATGTTTGTATTTTTTGAATGTATGTTCTTGAGGTATGGAGTTGGCACCGTAAAGTATTGTGCGCTATGCTGCTATATGATGGTTAGCAGCAAACACAGACGTGGTGCACGCAAGTTCTTATCCATATACTAAATAGTTAAATTCTTTCCAATACTAAAACTAACAACACAATATTGGTTAGTTCTGCTGAAGTTAGTTATACGCGTTCTTTTTCAAATATTGGAACTGGAACTAGAAACGGGAGAGTTCTTATTTTTGAGGAACTTGAACACAAATTTCCGTTCCTCGAATTATGAAAAAATAAAATTATAGTATGAAACTCATGTTTTTTTAACAATATTATTTTCTAGAATATGTTTAGTGTTGGTAATCTTGTATCACTTCGTCAGTCACTAATAAATTACCACATATTGAAATACATAATACTATCCCAACCATGATCCCAACATTTTCATTTTTATCACAAAAAATCTAGGTATTGTGGGTATATTTTATATGCATATTAAATAATAAAACAGTTCTGAGTGAAGGAGTGAGTTTTTAGTCAAATTAATCAGTGGCGGCTCGTAGTAGTTTGATATGGTAGTGCAATAATAGTAGCCCCAAGCCACCATCTATTTTAGTTGAATTGTCCTGGGTTAAATAGAACGAAGTAGACAATAGGTCTTCCTAGTCATTTTACTTCAATTTTTTTTTCGAACGACTAGGAAGTAAATTTTAATTTAATCAATTCTTGAATTGAATTCATCGTTATCGACAAAAAAAAACAAAAAAAAAATGGAAATAAAAATAAAAATAAATAATTTTTACCTGTAATAGCTCTACTTACACACCACGTACAAAATACAATCTATTTTGAAGGCCAAAATACATATCTTAAATAATAAAAATAACATCGTGACTAAATAGGTATCCAACTCTGTGATACGCATACCCTTGCCATATCTATCGCGTAGTTCTCCGCTTCTATATAATATTCTATATTGACAATTTATTATTCCGACCAATGAAATGCGGAGAACTACGAGTAATGGTTTTGTGTCTATAGAATAGTTAGGAGATCTGATATGGATAACAAGCACTTCACAGTTCACAGTCATTGCTGACGGTCGGAATTTCTTTAGCTATCAGACGCTGTCAGACTTAAGCTATTATAGACGTATAAATATCGAACTCGTCGAGCTGTAAATACAAAAGCGAAAGGTCGCCATCAAAAATTTACGACGAAAATTATCGAACTACAATATTATTTATATAGTATAGTCTAGCCGGTCTTCGTCGTTGACGTCTCCAAATAGTGCTTATATACTCGTCGGATGTAGATATAATAAAAAATATGCACTATTAACAATAAGAAAATATGCTACGACAATTATCGCACAATATTATAATATAGTCCCTCCCTCCACCAGTTCTCAATATTATTATAATATAACCGCCGCACACACAATACAACAGTATACACGCGACCCACGTTATAGACATTCAGCCTTTGTTTAATTTTTGGATTATTTTTATTCAAATATTAATATTTTCCAATACCAGTCTGAAACATTTAAATTCGTTTGATGGAAATATAAAGACCATCATGATTCCTATTTATAGTTATTGTAAGAAGTATAATTGCGAATATAATTTTATTTTAAAATGTACCTACTTAGGGAGTGCAGTTTGCACGAGCCGTCACTGAAAATAATAAAACTTCAGTTATTGGAGAAAGTTTCACCATAATTATTCGATGAAAATGTCAAGTCTAAGCTATACAATTTTTGAATTATCACGAATAAACCAAATATGTTTTGTTAAAAATCGGTGATCATTAAAAACTCCTGTTTTTCCGCAACTTTCTGCTCGTTTCTCTTACGCGTTTATTGAATATTGTAAATGAGAAAACTTCAAAAGCTGACACCTTCAATGTTGAATCTGCGTTCAATTATAACTACCTATCAGAAAAGGTATTGAATATAAAAATTAGCCGATTATTTCTGGTTTAAAAGTTGTCCCCAAAAAAATACCATTGAGCTCAGATCGTAAAACGTTCTCAGAACGTTCTCAAAACGTTTCAAACGGAACATTCCCAACACTACCCGTCGGTCAGATAGAGAAAGCAAATGACGAACGACATCCTCATATTCCTCTGCAGTCCCACATGCAATTATTGTTCAACAAAGAGGCATTTTTCAGTTCTATAAAGAATTAAATTATAATATTATATTGTAAGATCCAAAATAACCGAAGACCGTTTAAACTCTTCGACAGTTTTAACAATTGAGTCAGATTTAGTTATTAATGTATATATATTTGTAAATCAAAGTTACCTCGAAGTTAGGACTATGATTTAAGAATATATTATTTGATTTTATTATAATTTCATGTATTTTATATATTTTATTTTACCCTTGATTATAAATAATTCGTATGTATATTATATAAATATACCTATTATACAATGGTGGGCAAGTTAATGAAAATAATTAACTTTGGCAAGTTAAGTTAATTAAATTAAATTGCCTCCAGTTAAGTTAAAAGTTAACAAAGAAAAAAAATTTACTAGATATAAGTTTAAAGTTAAGATAGAAAGTAAAATTAACTTATCTCAGTTAAAAAAAAATTAAATTTTGAAGGTAAAATATTTTTAAGTCATAAACTACCATAGTATTTTGTTATACCCAAACATTTACCAAGACATTTAACACTGTTTAAAAAATTAAATTATTATAATATATAATTCGAAAATAAATTACCAAAATCGTAAAAAAGTCGACTAATCAGTATTGCCTAGTTGATTACGCAGGACTCGTAAAATAAATTAACTCAACTGCACGACAATGATAATTAACTATAAAAAGTTAAGTTACAACAATAACAATTTTAACTGAATAACTTAATAAGTTACAAACAAAAATAATTAACTAGTTAAGTTAAAAAGTTAAAATAAAATTAACTTTAACTTTTTAACAAGTTTATGCCCACCATTGATATTATATGTGTGTGCATATATTAAAATATGTATACATATAACTATACAAGGTATACAGTGTAGGCGTAAGTATAGGTACCAGGTGATTTATTTAGGACACTCATTATTCGGAAATATTTTTTTTACTTGGTTTAAAGTCGTTTCAAAACAAAATTTTTTATCCTTATAATTTTTTACTTTTTAGAATTACAACATACAATTTTAATTTCATCTTCGAAAGCAGAATATTTTTCTGAGTATTTCGATGCCTAAAAATGAGTGCTCATAAACTAAGGATTGTTATAACTTATAAGTATTTAAAGTTTAGTTGAGCGGACCAAGTAGTGGACCAACATTTTGCGAAGTAACCGCGTACTACTCCACACCACTAATTTAAACTTTAAATACTTATAAATTATAACTTATAATTGTTAAACTACTCGTCCTAAATTCTATTTGTATGTGTCGAAATACTTAGAAAAATATACTCCTTTGGAATATGAAATTAAAACTGTATGTTGTCATTCAAAAAAGTAAAAATTATGAGGACAAAAAAATATTGAGAAATATTAGAAAGTGTTGTTAATTTAACGACAAGGAACCATATAAATTTTTTATTCAAAATCATTTATACTTTTTGATATAATGAGTGTTCCGTGATAAAATAATCACCCGGTATATATTATATAATAATATACTAGCTGAATTGACATACTTCGCCCGGGTTAAAATTAATCTACATTTCTATTGTTTTCCGTTTTCCTTCAGTTTAAAATATAGGTGCCTACTTATATAATACAAACACAAATACGATGACTAATTTGATGATTTTCCACTTCTTAAAAACACAGAAAAACTGGAGACAAATTCAACGAATGATTAAAAACCTACATAAATCCAATATC